TACGTCTGCAAATAATATACGTACACATCGCGCGCGCGTATCCAGACACGACATTTACATCCAGGCGACAAGACTTCGCCGTCGACGCCGAGATTTCACCGGCGTCGACGTCGCCTTCTTTTCCGTACGAAACGTCGCGCGCTCGAATATTTTTAATCTCCACCCTTCTTCCGGCCCCCATAGTATTATATTACCAATTGACATTATTATTATACGCACTCTGTTTGTGATGACAATATCTTGTGAAAAAACTTGTCTTAATTATATTTAATTATTTAATCAAGATTATTTAATAGCATTCGCTTTCGATTATTCGCATTATAGAAGATAAAGTTGCGATAATTTGTCACAGTTGTTTTATAATTTCTGAACCTTTATTCAGATATTGATAGATGAAAATCACAAGTTTGTAAAATCTCTTTTGCACATGTTACTTTCGTTACTTTTCCCGTCCCCAGAATAGCATAATTTTGTTGAAAAAAAAAAAACTAAAAAGAATATTCTGCTTTTTTAGTAACTTTTATTCGTTTTTCATTCACATAAAAACGTAAGTAAATAGAAAAAAAACTGGTTATTTGTTAACTTGTTCTAATCTAAATGGAGAAACGTCATCAAGTTTCCTTCAGAACATTATTGTGAATCAAACGGATTGCGTTTCCGAGGGGCGAATTAATCGAGTTTTCCTTGCGCGCGTAGGTAGCGGAGAGATATTGGTGATGTGTGAAACATTCCGACCCAATTACTTCGCCGATTGCTCGCTCTCTCTATCTCTTACTTTTCGAGTTCGAGTTCTATTTTTCCACGCGCCTACGCGCGCGGCCCGGAACCACCTGTTTGGCAGGGGATCAAGGCGCCGCCCGCAACGATGTCTTTTTTTTTTTTTTTTTTTGACGGGGAAAAAAATCGACGAGAAAATACTGAGTCATGAGGGGTGCGCGATCTCGTTTTTATCGCCGTGTCGTGCGTATACACCGGCAATCCGATACTTCTCCCGAAACGACGCGCGTGATGACCATCAACGGTCTACACACGTCTCCGCGCGTTCGCGTTTCTCGTTGTTGCGGAGATGTATAAAATAGAAGAAGATTGCATAAAATGCTGAAATGTCACAGCGTGTGTTTCGATGTGAAATCGTTAAAAGTCGAGTGGAACGATCGTAAACCAAGCCAGTTTACGGTCCGCTCGCTGTCACTCTTAAGCAATATTTATACGACGCGTTTATGAACTATCAGATTGTTTTGTTTGTCCGACGGAGTTTCTCTTGCTACTTTTGCTGCGATAAATATATTACAGCAGATTGCGCTCTTTTTCTTGTATCTCAATATGAGAGCAATTTGTTCTAATTCGCGATTTGACCGGGTCAGCGTTTCGATCTGATCTCGATCGATCGCAACGCGCAGTCGTAAGTAATTAAAGCGCGCGGCAATTATTCAAAAACTGCATTCCCTATTGTTCCAAAGTTTATGAAACATAAATTCTTCGCGGAAGAATATTTTCGCGACTGTCGCCCACTGTGGCGGCGCGACGACGCGACATTAACAATTTAGCACAGAGGATGAAACTGGAGAGAGATGAATCTAAGCGTTCTCCTCTCCCCTCTCGCGTGCCGGAACTGTTCCAATCCTCCAAACGATCGAAGTTATTCCCCGAAGCAAAGCTGTTTGTCCCAAAATCTGCGACGAACTGTGCTGACCCTGTTTCGCTTGGTCGCGCAAATCGGACGTGCAAGCTTCAGAAATACTCGTAAAAGAAAAACGGCGAGGAGTGGAAGAAGAGGAAGGAAGCGGAGATATCATCGAGAAGAGATCGGCGATTGATGAGAATCGCGCGTCGGGAGCGACGAAGAGGGGCGAAGCAGGATGAAGACGAGAGAAGCTCTCGGGAAGATGCTCCGAGAAGCTCGAAGAAGAAGAAGAAGAAGAAGAAGAAGAGAGAAGGAGAAAGAGATGAGGAGCAGTAACGGACGGATGTATCGTAGAAAAGTTGCACCCGGCACACTGCATCGAGATTCAGGAGAAGGAGAGAAGCTAAAGCCGAAAGAGAGTGGCGAAGGAGCAGAAGGGTGGAGGAGACAAGAGAGCAATCGCGCGGAGGAAGCGGCAGGGAGGAGAGCGCGGAAGGACGACGCGGGAGAGGGTGGTGAAGAGGGTGACGGCGGGCGCGCGCGGCGCGGCGCGTTTCTGGAGTCGTCGGGACGCCGAAAATAGCGTCCCGATATGATGACGCCCGGAGCGGACCGATCCTAGATTTCAGTCAGTTCGCAAGCTCGAAAGCCGCTGAACAGTAGTAGCCCCGGACCAGTTACTCCCGCCGTTCCGATTTCTTTTTCCAAAGCGACGTCGAAAAATTCGCGGACTCCCTCTCTCCCCCCCTTTTTTCTCTCTCTTTCTCTCTCTCTCTTTTTTTTTCTTTCTTCTTTCTTTTTCCCTTTCGAGAGAGCCGTCCGAGCACCACGACAGTCCTCAGTTGATTCTGTCGCCTAGTAGAGATCACATCGCGACAACGGAAAGAGGATAGAACACACAGAGATGGCGGACGTAGACAGTGTAGTGTATACGACCACTGAGCGCAAAGTGCGCAAAGTGAAGAAGACGACCAAGCGCCGGGAGAGCCACGACCAGAACGCGTCGGAGGTCACGATCACCGAGGTCGACAGCACGCAGAACCACCATGCCATCGAAGAGTATGTGCTGGCTGACGATGTAGTTTCCGGCAGACCCGCATATATAGCACTAATATTATTACTTCTTCTTTCTTGCTCCTCTTAACGGCGACCCGTCGTCGTTAACGTGATCATCATTGTTGTGAACGCGACTCGCATCCTCTCGTGAACGAGATCTTGAGAGCGTCAACGCACGGAAATGCCGCGCGCGAAAACCGGAAAGGCCGCGACGGTGAAACAGTCCAAGAGACGCTTAAAATCCGCTTAAGCGAGAGAACCTTATATATGTTTCGTCTGTTACAAACGAAACTACGAGTTAGAAAAAAAAGAAAGAATGACGAAGCTCTGAGATGAAGAGATCGTGAAAGCCTAAATTTCCTTTACGACGAAGAAGATTGTTGGTGCAATCAATCTAAAGCAAACCGTCCGGATGAAAAACACGCGTTCTAACATTTCTAACAACGTCGTTTCATTGATTCACGCGAATCGTCATTTCGGTAATTTCGCGCGAGGAAATTGAAGCGAGGTTCGCGATTTTATTTTGTTCGCGGCCTGGTCGTGCCTGGAATACGACGGCGCATTTAATCTCAAACACCCTACTTCATTCCGCGCTCGCTCGCTTGCGATTTACGAGCAGCCGAAAATACTCGAGCGAAGAAAGATTGACTTCGGGATATCGCGTTTCCACTATCGTCACGCGAGACTCGCGCTCTTCCCGTATCTAAAACTATATCGCTCGCCGCGAATGATCCTCGCCGGATGTCCTCTGACATTTCGTGACTGCGGACTACAATTCCGCAGACGAATGTACCGTGCCGTATCCTGGCGAGATTCAGCGCTGACGCTCCAGGAACTCGAAGCTTATCGGGAGTTACCACCCGAGGAGGAGAAGAGAGAGATAGAAAGAAAGAAAGAGAGAGAAAGAAAGAGAGACAAAGAAACGCTCTTTCCTTCGAAGATCTCACAATTATCAGCCTTTGAAAAATCTACCGATTACAGTACAGACTTTCTTCCGTTACAAAAAAAAGCTGGGAAAAGTGTATTTCGTTACTGAAAATCTAAAAAGTGCTTGTATATATAAAAATCAAATAACGCTTAATGAACGCAACAAAAACGTCTTTTTCCAGCTTTTTTCTCAGCAAAGTCACGACTTTTGAAGACTGATTGAATATATATATATATACAGATGCCTTTAAGAAAGCAAAAAAGAACACTCGTCCGATTAAAAAAAAAAAAAAAACAATAATTACGCTCAGACAAAATTTGTACAATTGTTGTACGCGCGTCACGATAGATATGACTTTGTACAGTAATACTCAGCCAGCACATACAACAGCACTCATCCAAGGTACATATTACCAGCACGAAACCAGCGACCCCGTGTCCGCCATAATCGCGCACGGTTACACGGATCGAGAGAGAGGCGATCGAGAAACTCTCTCGATGGGGGCAGTAAAAAAAAAACACGATGGAAAACACGATGCTGTGGGAGGAACGTGTGATTTTTTTTTTTATTGTGCTCTACCTAGTATTTCTACAGATGTCGTTTACCGTCGTAAATTGCAAGCAAACATCTCGAGATGACTGTCGTGTTGTGTGACTTACATTCCGGTATCGTCAAAACTCGAAAATTTGACGTAACTCGTTCAAAATGTGCGTAAAAAAAAAAAAAATAAAAATTTAAAATTAACTTCGAATAGACTTGAATTTTCCGCAAAAAATCGACACATTTGACCACTATTACGTAGTGAACGTAGAACAACCCAAAAAAACTACAACTGCGAACGTTACATGCATCTCGTTACAATCACCGGCAACAAATGGTCAAAGTACTACGCAAACATTGAACTGAAATTTTGTTTCTAATTTCTACATATTGCAATGGTTTTACATGAAAACGAACAAAGCTACGCAAACTACGCCATAAAAATATCTTCCACACAAGTGTGTCTTCTTTTTTACTTATACATGCAACATAATTACGTAGTCAAAAACATTGTAAGAAGCTACGTACATAAAGTTTTAGTTTTCTAAATTGACGTGTTTTTTTTTTTTTTTTATCCTAGAGTTTGCTAATTTATTTCTGGTAATTACAAAGTCGTTCTTCAAGTCGCTTGCTGCGAGATTTATGTGTGTAGCTCCTTACGATTCTCACCGTTTGAAAAAACATGAAACAAAAAACAAGATTTAGTACTAGACTTTAGTACTAGACAAGATTTAATAGTAGAATTAGATTCAAAATGATCGAACGATTGAGTGACGTTTCGAGATATTTTTTGTTTCCTCGGTTTCTAAGTGTTACTGGATTTTTCTAAAACGCTCGATATTCGCATTGCAGTTGATTTTCAGTGGCGAATTCACAAAGGCGATGAACAAGGAATGGCACAGCGGCCACTTCTGTTGCTGGCAGTGCGACGAATCCCTAACCGGACAGCGTTACGTCCTAAGGGATGAGCATCCTTACTGCATCAAGTGCTACGAGAGCGTGTTCGCCAACAGCTGCGAGCAGTGCAGCAAAATCATCGGCATCGAATCTAAGGTAATAGACACGAGAGAAGTAAGTTTTTTTTTTTTTTTTTACGTACAAACAAAACAAAACAAGATTGTTTGGATTCCGAGAGTTCCCATTTGTTGAGTTAAGAGTCTAAAGTTCCACAACCTGAGATCTTACACACGTTACGACGCACCACGTGGGTCATAAATTATTTCGACATCGTGTAGCTTAAAGGCGCAATTAGCAGCCGTCGAATGATTACGAGACCAGGTGTCAATAGATGGTGAAGCATGGGCGTTGACTTACTCATTTCTAGAAATAGAAACGATGATGCAGGTGCCGGCTGACCGCGTATCGACTACGAGCACCGATTTCCGCTCTTACCGCACGCGCGATCGCTATTATTATTGTAATATATTTCGCGTTCGCTCCTACGCTTGTACGCGCGCGAAAAATCGTCAACCTGTGACGGGAAAGTGTGTTATTTTCCTTCGAAACGATCATCACCGCATCGAGTTGCATAATTCGCGTGATTAATAATTCTCGCGATCACAGCATCCGCGATGTCATTTTGAGAAATTATTACAGCCTCATATTTGCTTACGAGCGCAAATACCACTTGTCTATTGAACGAGTCGATTAAATTCTTCCACGGTAGTTAATTTCGCTTTCCACACAGTTCAAATATTTTAACTTTGTTGTAGAGAATGTTTTTATTTTTTATTTTTATAAAAATTATTTCAATACTTTCGGAAAAAATCGGCGACAAATGTAAGAGAAAGAAAAAGTTGCAACGTTAGATGTTGTTTTCAGGATCTGTCGTACAAGGATAAGCACTGGCATGAAGCCTGCTTCTTCTGTACCAAGTGCAAAGTGTCCTTGGTGGACAAACAGTTCGGTAGCAAGTTGGACAAGATCTACTGCAGCAACTGCTACGACGCCCAATTCGCGACCCGTTGCGATGCGTGCGGCGATATCTTCCGAGCTGGTACGTATTGTTTTCAACATTGCTGATATCAGTCTCGCAAAGTGTGTTTGAGACACCCCAAGACGAGCTAATCCCTCCTTTAAAAATCTGAACACGTTCATTGATTTATTCATAATTCGACACGCGAATGCGTTACCGCGCGTACCAGAAAGAAAGAACTATCGTTTCACAATTCGATAAAGTATTTTTTTTTTCAATTCAATAAATTATTTTTTTCATAAAAATCTGAAAGGAGATTCTCACAAAACATTCGAGATAATTCGGGAACGCAAATTTTGTTGCGTCAGATTTTCTTTCTTTCTCCTTCGCGTTTCGAGACAAAAATGGGAAAAAAAACGTCAGAACGTATGCTCCAGAAAGTTGAAAATATGGATTTTACGACGGTTTAGCAATTTCCTGCAGTTTATTGCGCTGCATGCGTTTTCGCAACATTTGTATAAAGTCGTTAAATCCTAAACGAGATTGTTGAACGCTTTCCTCCGAAAATTCGCTTAATGCGAAACCAAGTGCGAGCGTAAAAATGAGAACAAAAATGAGAAAGAAAAAGAAAACAAGATCGCACGTGCGGTCTGCGCAGCAATCAACTTAATCGATAAACATTGCATAAAAACGACCAACACTTTCGGCTTTGACCGTCTATTCCCGTCGTTTCGCTGGATGACCGCATCTCGCCAATTACATCATAAGAAATAAACGCAAATGAACGTGAGAAGAATATAATTTGCGCGAAGTGAGACAAATACGGCGAGTAACAGTCGAATGAAACGAACAATGGAAAGGTCGCCGCGAATCAGTGGAAACAATTCCTCTGGCGATTTCCACCTACGATCTAAACACCTGTTTCTTGATCGATCACGGGCGAATCGTTCGCCGACAGTGATTCATGGCGTCAGGTACAAGCGCGATCGGCCGAGCGAGAAAGAGAAAAGCGATAGATCTTGCATTCGGGCGTTTCTTATTAAGGTAACGAAGTCAAGGCTCCGGCTCCAGACACGGGCCAATTATTGTGAGCCATTTTGAGAGATACTTGGGAGGGTACGTCACTTCTGCATCTAATTCACCGGTTCTCTAATGCCGCTAAATTGTTCTGCATGAATATCTCGATTGGACCGCGCGCCTACCTGTTTCTCCTCTCCCCCCTCTTTTGTGGATATCGTCAGAGACTTCCAGAAATGGCGCTTTCCTTTTCAATTGTGTGTGAACATTTCAAGCGATTCACATTCAATAATAACGTCTCGGATTTCAGATACTTTTCTTAATTCCCGCGCAAATAAGACGGCGAATTGATTGACTTGAATCTGCTCTCAAGAGATAGACGTCGATTTTTTTTCGACGTAACGTGTTCCGAACAAAACATACACCCGTAAGTGGGTCAGAGAGGTTATTATTGGGCAACTGTGGTCGACCACGTTTCCGAGACGAGATGAAGGAAACCTGGTAGTTACATCGTGGGATGTGATTATAAACGTGTGCACTTTTTGCGTTGTTTAAAAGCTTCGCTCGCGCGTTCGAAGTGCAGCCTTCAACCAGCAAGAACGGACGCGCGAACCGCGAAACCGATGGCCTATATTACGGTACGATTCGCATTATGCATCGCGATCCATTCGAGAGATGGCGAAGTGTTCAAAAAAAAAAAAAAAAAAAAATGCTATATAGAAAGCCTCGGCGAGAAACGTACTGCTTATCTCTGAATAGCGCGAACGTCCGCTTTATTCGAGAGATAAAAAAAAAAAAAAAAAAAAAAAAACGCGATTTAAATATATAACATCCGGGAGAGTGTGTCAACCCGCGCGCGGACCTTGATACTGACGAGATAAAAGAGAGATGAGAGAAATTCGTCCTGAATAGATGTGACGTCATTTGAATATCTGCTCGCTCAAGACAGTGTAAATTTGCAAATCATAATTACTGCAGATAAAATCAAAAGAAGACAAAAGAGGGGAAAAGAGAGAGACAAAAAATTTATTTTATCGTAGAAAGAAAATTTAAAGATGTTTTCGAGAATGAAAGAGACGAGGTCGCGTGAGATTTTACGAGAGATTATCGCATGGTCGACAAATTTTTTTTATTTTCTCAATATCTCTCACAATTCGGCGATTGGAAAATTCGTGACGCTGCATTTCGATAACGAACGTACTTGCGCCCGCCAATCTCGCTTAGAAAACCGTTCTCGCGACGCAGTTGCTTGTTAGAAATAATTCGCGTGACACATTGTAGAAAAGGTCAGACGGCGTGGGAGTGTGCGAAGCGCGAATCCCAATTTCACCTCTGACAGATGGAAAGGATTAGCTGACGTGGGCCAATCGAGGCGCAAATCGTCGGCGCGAATGACTCGGTGCCAGCGCGTGTCCCGTACGGGGGCTCGACATTTTGCGAGCTTACATATCAATCTGGGGAATCGCTAATAAATTTCGGATCGAATTCGTGAGTACCGCGAACATGCGATCGCGCATCGAGATTTCCCATGCACTTTATAGCCGCGCGCGTTTCCGCGAGGAAACACGTAGATCGAACAAAAGGGCTGTAGCTTAGGAACGTAGAAGGCCGAGGCAAAGAGAAACGTTTGCAAAAATCATCGGACTAAAAGATGCGTTATGTACACCGCATTAATCATCATCAGCGACTGGGGATCGCGTCATCGCGATATGATAAATGTTCGAATACTTTTAATCTGAAAAAAAAAAAAAAAAAATACGCAGTACGAATTTTTGCAAACGGTAAAGCACGCGATTGGCAACAAAGACAGCCGGTAGTTTTGTAGTAAAATTTCTTTTTGTTACTCGCAAGAGAGAGAAACAAACGTACTTTCGATTCGCAAGCGATTAAAGTTCGCAATATGGAATCCTTGAGAAAAATCACACACGCAACGTGATCGCGATAGAAATATCCTAATAAAGAACAAAATGCGCATGATATTAGTCACCGCTGGAGATAACTCAGTTGTGCGTTCTTCTGCTTTCTACGTTTATGACAAACTTTATTAAACAAATATATATCAAATATAATTTTCCTCGTTCTTATAAAATTTTTTTTTTTAAACGGGGATACTTTTATTCTCATTATTATATTGATTTATTCTATACACATTTATTTTATCTTCTCTAACTTAGTTTTGTGCCAATGACACAATCTCGCTCAACTGGAGAGAAATGGGTCGGTCGGATATTCTAAATTCGGTGTCTTTTACGGTTCTTTGATCGGCGCGGCCCCGAAATCTGGAGGCGATCGTCCAGATATAATCCGCGGTCATAACCAGGGATGGTAGAATGCCTCTCTCGCTATATAGCGACCAAGTTATCACACGGGTAACACACGTTGCGCCTGCTCGCAACGGTGACTCCAGCAAGAGCCGAAGAGCGGTCTGCCTTCAGTGGCTCGCAAGGCTTCGGTCCAATCGCACGTTCGATTCGCCGTGTCCCAACACACTCCAGCACACCGGCTTTCTCTCTTCTTTTCTCACTCGCGTGATTTATTTCGCGCGTCTTCATTAATTCACTCGCGAAACTTTAACTCTCTCTTTCCGACGTCTATTAATATGTTGATTTAAACAAAATTCCTGATTAATATACAATTTCTTTACTCAATAGTTTCAATTAAAACTAAATATAAATTACGCGGTAATTTACGCACAAATTTGAACTTACGTCAGTCATGATCGCGTACCAAGTCCAATCGCACACGTCGCGGCGCGCCGAATAAACGAGGCGCGGGAGAGTTCTGTCGTCAAAGTTTTTCCGTGTAAACTTCGTGCAGCTAGCAGATGCACGTGTGTTTGTTTGCGTAAACATTTTGAGAGAGAGATTTAATTGCAAGAGGAAACATGGCCACCGACGCGCTGAGCGAACGGCTGTCAAGTAAGCTGCACCTGCAGACGAAGACGGTGGGCGAGGAGAGGATTAAACGGGCGAAGGAGAAGGACGAAGATGTCGCGATCTTCAGTATGTTCCCCATGGAGGGCGACCCGAAGTTCAGGTGCTGCCTGGGCAAGGATTGTCTGATCGGGGATCCCAAGAAAGCTGACCCAGGTGACGATCGCGACGATCGCTCGTCTCAAATCGTTCTCTCATATAACACACATCGGAAATGTTAATAAATTAATATCTATTACAACACGTTTAATACAAATTTATTTATAGGATTAGTTTAGTCATTTTATTTATTTACTTAAACGGGAATTTATCTTCAAATATAAAAAATAATAAACAAAGAAGATATTTGACACATTTTTTGAGTTTTAGTTTATTTATTTATGTAAACGGAAATCCACCTTTAAATATAAAAAATAACAAATGAAAAAGATACTTGTTTTGAGTTTGCAACAACCGAAAAAAATTATTTTACTTTAGTGAAATAAAATATACTTTCGATCGATCGATTCGAAGAGCACGCAAGACACAAAGACACCGTTAAAACTTTTCGTCGAAACTTCGAAATGAGAGCAGCTTTGTATTACGGATATTATACCGCAGTGTTTTATATGTATTTTATATGTGCTACCGTGTGATAAGCACTTGGAAATTGATGCGTTCATCGAGTATTTTAAGAATACGGAAGAAATTACACATATGCGAAATCATTAAAGTGTGTGTTTAAAGTGCACAAAGCTCGTAAATACTCGATTATTTCTATTTAACCGATAACAATCTTGTTGATGTCAACGCGTAACGGGAATTGCAACATTTGCCAATGCAATATCAGATGCGGTATCAAGCGCGTGTGAAAAAGAGAAATTAATACAACCGGAATGACACATGTTTGCCATTAAAGATTCCATGTTTCGATGCATCAGATAAGATTATCGAGCCTTTCATCCGTGAAAAAAATTGTAATAGCTCTTTTAACACCAGTTGTGTGTTGAAGCGAGATATCGTAGCCTTAGCGAGAGAAAGAAAGAAAGAGAAGAAGAAATAGAGAAACGTTAGAGAGGGAGAGAGAAAGAGAAAGAGAGAGAACTGGAGAATCTCGTTCGCGTGACCTTAGTCAGAGACCGACTCGCTAATTGCCATCCGATGCCGAAGTCTTAATTTCCAAGTGAACCTTCATCGGATCGATGCGACGCATCCGCGCGCGCTCGAATTTTCCACAATATTTAGTTTATCCAGACGCTAATGCGTTTGTTCTGCAATTATCGGCACCGTTCTGGCCGTCGATGATAATGCTCGCGCTCTGTGGAAGATTACCAAGTGTCTGCGTGTGGGTTTCGTATGGGTTTAAGCCTGGCAAATATTTGCGCGGAATCTCGCAGCAGAAATCACAGTTGTGCGTCACAAATGTGCTGCACATCTCTCTTCTTGTAAAAAAATATATATATATATATTTTTTTTTTTTCGATTTGATTCAACGCGCAGTATGAAAACGCAAAGAAAAACGTAACTCGCAAATATGCTTATTCAAATTGTTCGTTATTGATATCGCCAAACAGATAGGCGCGCGAGAATCATCCGCGAAAATAAATTTCGATGCGGTCTTTTAAAAGCTGATATGTAAATCCGAGTATGTTAATCTTGAGAAACAGTTGAGCGGGGAGAGGATAATTCAATCGGATAAGTAAAGAAAAGAATCGAATTGATCAAATGTTTGTCAGAAGGAAAAACCTTGAGCACAAAGACGTAACCTCGCGCAGTTCTGCACGAGGAGCTGCAACGTTAGCTCGCGTATCTATGATTGATTTTATTACAAACATGACTCATGGCATCGTAAACGTCGCCCGTGTGCGGTCCGCACGTGTGTACATTGTGGTTAAAAATATTGAACTACATGCTATGCATTTTATTTCGGTTCCATTAAGTCGAACAGACAAATTTCGAAAAAAAAACAAAAAAAAACAAAAAAAAAAAAACAAATTGACGATCGCTTTTCAACGAAACAAAATACCACCGTTATTATTGTGTTGTTCAACGTGTAGCATTAAATTGAAGGAAAAAACATAGTTTTTATACAGTTAGATAATGAGGTTATCATCGAATAGAGATACTGTTTAATTACGTAAATCCTTTACTGCGCGTTTTTTTATTCGAAAATACGTGCCGCAAGTCGCTGCACGCGCGTGTAATTGAACACATCAGAGATACGATGATTGACGCAAAGATTGTGAAATTCTATAGAATTTGTATTGGCGCAAACGGTCCACGTCGGCAACGCGCTTAAGACTTTATGATAAAAAAAAAAAAATATATATATATATGCAGGTTGCTCGTTCCGTCAGAAGTTTACTTTGTGCACGGAGAGAAGCGAGCGGTTGCGCAATTTGTAACGGTTTCGTATATACATTTTATTGGTGATGTGGTAAAAGCACATGTGCGTTGTGCACGGAATGAATCGACTTCAGTGGAAAGAAATTGTTGACAATCGCGATTGCAGCAACGCACGCGCGCGAGATTATCGAAATCGCATATCATTGAAAACATCATCATTCCGTCCGGATAAGGGTCACGATATCGACGTATTAATATGAATGATATCATCGATCGCGCTGCGCGTAACAGGCAGATTGTACATTGTCCGTGCGCGGAATCGGCGCGACATGTCCAAACAAACACATCGTTATCGAGTTGCGATCTCTCTTCCGTGAGTTTTCCGCAATATCTCACGTGAAATGCAAAAGAGCGCCATTTACATAAGAATTTAAATACTCATTGAATCGCGAGAGTATGGCTATACGATTAATTTATGATTTATCGTACTATTCAATCGATCAATTAATCAAACGAAGGATGTAAGTGAGATAAGAAAAATATGTAACGTTTGAATTGTTTATATTGCAGCACCCCAAGATGTTTTCATGGAACAACGTTCACATTAATTTAACGAAAACGCGTAAAATTTACGACCACGTCAGTCAGACAGAGAGAGAGAAAGAGAAAGTTAAAAAAATAAAACAAAAGCACATCTTTACTTCTTAATAGAGATCCGTGTGAGAGGAAGGTTTAATCTTAGTCCGTTGATTTGTGCACACGGTCGGTGCGAACGGAGAGAGTTAGTCTGGGTCAGGAAATTTCAGAACTGGTATAGAAGCTCTGCTCTCCTCTTTGAATTATATTTAGACTTGACGTAGGAAAAGAGAAGCTTCCGCCTCGGGATAGTCGGTTCGCGTCGATTCCAGTTTGACAACAAATGACCGTAAAATCTCTCCGAACGATCAACGAGCACAAAAAAAAAACGGTGAACGGTAATTAATTACGAAGCGAACAAGAAATTGAATAAATTATGCGTGAATATTAATATCGAAGACGCAATTGCACATTGGCTTCGATAATTTAAACAGATTCCCTGTGCGAATCACATTATAAAATTAGTGTAAAACGCGAGTAAAATACCGTTCAAAGTCATTGTTTATTATAACACAGAAGATGGTGTCTTAAATCTCGCACGTAAGAATATTCGCGGTGATCGAAAAATCTCACGCGTCACGCTCTTGGAAAGAGACGTTTTATTATCGTGACGGGCGATTCATTTGAGCGCGTGAATGACACTTCCTTCCAAGTAGATTTAAAGCGCATTTCTCGTCTGTCATCGACGTGCGATCGGTTGAAGTGCGACACCGCGCGTTTCACACACGTGTGGCGTCACGTCATGAAGCACGCGTCATTTTTTTTTCTCGCCAAACACATGACAATTGCGGGACTAAAAATATCAGCATCTTTAAAGGTGAATGTTACCTCACCTGTTTTTCACAGACACTCAATCGATGGCAGTTGCGTATTTCTCTTTACGAGATTCCAACGCAAAAATTTTGTTTATTAATTGGTTAAGAAATTTGTGTGGGAAAAACACACTTGGTGTATCCTCAGCGCGATCAGAAATATAAAAACAATAATAAAGAGTAAAGCGAGACGCGTACATACGACTTCATAAAAATATATTACACCGAGACGAGGACGTAAGTGAGTAATTTATGCAGATATATCCAATTTTCAATACATGAATTTTCAATGTATACGCTCAGAGCCGCGCGGAGACCGACGGCGCACAAGAGATTACCACACCGGCCTTGGACCATCGGCTTTATACTTATACGGAGGTATTGCCTGGTTAATGTGACGTCACGAATCTCCATTTGAGTCATAGTGGTCCGCAAGGCGCGCGGTGTACGAAAGAGATACGGGCCGGCATCAGAATGCCCATCTTTAGCGCGTTTCTCCCCTTCCAAAGCGGATCCGCCATCAGCCGCGTCGAAAGATGAAATAAACGCATCTTCGGCAGATTCGACCGACAAATCGCTGCAAAATTTTGTGCACACGCGAGTAAACGTTTTTTTCGCAGACGAAGAAAGACACAGAGAGATCTGCGTACTCGTGATGAAACAAGTCTCTTTCATTTGTCCGCTGGAACTGTCATGTTTCAAACGTGATCCATCGCGGTAAACATTTGGGATCCAACCAGCGGGTGATTCACGACACACGTTATCATACTTAATGTCACATTTAAGTGTTTCGTCTGCCAGGTCTTAGATCACCCTTCGAAATAAATGGAGACGTCGTTAATTCGTCTTCTTGTCTCTCGGACACGGCGGATAAATACAAGAAACGCGGAGATGAGACGAAGGCGAACGCCCACATTCTCGCAATTTACTCGCTAAAGTCCGTGAATAAAATTTTATTCGCTGATTGATCGTGTCAGAATGAATTGAGATTTCTATTTCTTACTCGCAATTTATTTTCAGGTGATGTTATTGTTCAAAATGTGCCGAGATACAAATGTTACGATACATTTTACGAGGAATAATGTGAAAATATAAAAGAGAGTGTTGTCTTCTGTGACATCAGCGCATTTTTCTATTCAACGATCCATCTCTCTTGTCGCTCTGTTATCTCGTCATTTCGCAAATTATATACCAGAACGTGACCACGATAATGAGCCGATAATGCTCATCCGCGAGACAGCGTTTACGTCACGTTTTTCACATTAATGCTCTCTTAACCTCAATAAAAAAAAAAAAGAGAAAAAAAAACAACCACGAAGTAACCGAGACTGTCTCATTCCTGACTCCTGATTGCGATAATTTCGCGGCAAACAACTTTAAAAGGATGACACCGCGCGAATAATCTCGATTTAGAAAATAATATCGTCCAGTTGCTTTTAATTGTGCTTTTATTCTGGAGTGTGAATCACCTGAATATTTTTTTTTTGACTCTAGAGTTATATCGTGTCGCCAAGGATACAGAGATACACAGCCCTTTTTAATGATCTGTGCGCGCTTTTATCGAAAGCACCACAGATAAGAAATTATTGCAGCAGAGAAAATACACGCGCGCATGTTTATAAATGTAGATGATATCGAATTACATTATCTCTTTATCGAAATTTCAAAGTTAATTTATCATATTGCAAACTCCGCATTTTCGTTCCTAAATAAACGAATCGTATATCATACGCATCTGAACAATTTAAGTTTCCTAAATTATCTTCGTCCGTAATCACGCGGTTCGCCTTCAATCAAAATCCCGCAGTGCGGTTGATTTTCCGTCCGTTTGTTTCTGTTCCCACGCGACTGTTTGCACCTGTGTGTACTAATTGTAGATCGTCGAGAGACGATGAACTCTATCAACGTGAAGAACGAGAGAGAGAGAGAAGAATCAAGTTGCATCGAACGAGCTCTCTCGCGGAGCTCGAAAGTACACGGAAATTCCATGAATCAATCTAATTTTGTTTGCGATGCAGAATGTTTTTATGGACAAGAGTCTAACTAGTTATGAAGTTCGCGAGGAAATTTGCGGAAAAATTTACTCCTTGCTATAAGACCCGCGGAGCGTTCGAAAACGTGCGGACGGCGACGATGCACGCGATTGAAATAATACAGCTCGCCTGTCGCCGCACGCAAACGTCTAGACGTTGAAACATAATTTGGCAACTTTGATTTTTTTTAATATCCGCAGTTTATTTGGACACAAAAAATATAGTTAAAACAAAAATAAAATTGTAAACTGTAGGACAATTGGATTTTTTTTCTAAATATCTTTCAAACAGATTGTGATTATTTTACTGCTTTTTTCAGGCACCAAGAAAATGGAGTACAAGACCAGACAATGGCACGAGAAGTGCTTCTGCTGCGTTGTCTGCAAGAATCCGATCGGCACGAAGAGTTTCATCCCGCGCGAACAGGAGATTTACTGTGCCGCGTGTTACGAGGACAAGTTCGCCACCCGGTGTGTTAAATGCAACAAGGTAAGTCACACCTTTCACTGTATCAACAACCACGTTTCGTTTCATTTGTTTATTTTATTGTCGCGTAGAAAGCTCGTCGAGGACGCGCGTGACAGATTGAATAAACTCTTCTCTCTTCGTTTTATACGTCTTTTAATTTTATTTTTATTTTGTAATCGCTAATTATTAAAACTTATCCTACAGAGATCGCAAATTCTTTGTTACAGATCATCACTAGCGGCGGCGTGACATACAAGAACGAGCCGTGGCACCGAGACTGCTTCACGTGCAGCAACTGCAACAATTCCCTGGCGGGACAACGATTCACATCGCGCGATGACAAACCGTACTGTGCTGATTGCTTCGGCGAGCTCTTCGCCAAGAGGTGTACCGCTTGCTCCAAGCCGATCACTGGTACGCATCATCAATCCGCGCGAACCTCCTCAAAAGATATCCGAGAGTTTTGTTTCAGAAGCAATTCTGAGATCGCAAATTTATTTTAAGCAGAGACGTTAAAATTAACCCAAGCGTAATTTACATTTCAGGCATCGGCGGCACTCGTTTCATCTCGTTCGAAGACAGGCATTGGCATAACGATTGCTTCATTTGCGCGGGCTGCAAAACCTCGCTGGTCGGACGAGGCTTTATCACCGACGGCGAGGATATCATTTGTCCGGAGTGCGCCAAGCAGAAGCTGATGTAAAGCGCGCGACTTTGCGACAACGAGAATGACAGCGGCACCGACGAGGAGAGCGAAGGGAGAGAAAGGACGGAAGCGCGATGGACTTTTGTTGGAGAATCCGTGAAATCGCTTGCGCCGACCGAGACGGGGACTCGATCGAAAGATTCTCGAAGATGTGAAATCGCACCGAGAGAATAAAAAAATTATAAAAATATAAAAATAATAAAAGTTTATAAAAATTATGAAAAAAAAAAACTTTTGCGACATGGCGCTCGTAATAAACGTTTTATTACGACCAACCAATGCGCGCGTTGACGTGCGACTTTTCCCGAAGGAAGAACAGAGAGTTGGAGAATCCTTCGACCAAGTTCTTGTCTCGGTCAGCGAAGTGATTTTACGATCGCCAATCGATCGTTCAGAAAGGAGAGCGACGCGAACGAACGCGAGGGTTCGCTTCTATCCTTGATGTTAGAGTTTCTGTTTCTTTATTTCTGCTTGTGTGTGCTCTTAGAGAAGAGCAACGACGCGTGTCTGTAATCGAGACAATTTGCTCGATCATTACGCCTGAGATATATATCGAGGATCAAGAGAAATATAATGTAAAACGAAATCGAAGAAATAGAGAACAAAGCAGAAGAAAGCGTGTGAGCAGCGAATGTTGCGTTCCACTGTAACAAAATAACGGGCGTCGATCGGTATGGATGATAGATGAGCCTAAGCGTTCCACGTGCTCTCGTGATGTTACTTTATCTGTTACTCTAGATGTTACTAATGGTAGAGAAATATACGCGCGTGCGCGCAAAGAGAGAGAGAGTTCTATATATATATATTACATATATTCTTATGTGGAAGATATATATGAATTTGATGTTATTTCTATATATATATATATATACACACACACACACATACACATTTTATTCGACTCGCGGAGAACACGACGGTCTACACAAGTTACACTTACATGCACACATCAACACATCAGTTCCGGACCGGCTGACACGCCGTTCTCTCTCTTTTCCTAAACCTCTTCTAAACGCTTCGTGCGCTATGGTGCACACATTAATTTAAAAACTAATTTAAACAATAAATGTTTGTCAAAAAGTTGTTGACTTTGTATTAAGCGAAAACATCTTGACTCGCTCAGACTTGAAGTCACTTGTTTGGCGAATTATCGAGAAAATTCGTTAATTTTCTGCATCTTTAGTTAAAGAAGATGCGACGTACGATACGAACGAGTTTTGAGTGTCACCGCTCGCTACGTCTCGGCTCTCTTCTCAGTCGTCTTTCTCTCCCTTTTTCTCGCTCGTCGAGAGAATCAGGCGCGCATCGTCGTCGTAGGGGAACCGCCATCGTTCCGTGTAAATCGCGCACACACACATACACACGTACACACACGTATAGATACATTCATACACAAAATACATGAACGCTACAAGCATTTTTGCACTAACACTTTAAAAGAATCTTGAAGGAGAAAAAAACGACAAAAAAAAGGAACGAAAATACGTACACTCATGATAAAACGAACACGCATACACACACACACACACATACGTATCAAACTTACCGAACTGAGCCTCGAGCCGAACTTCATCGCGAATCTTCATTGCGCGTTCAACCGAGCCGGTACATTTTTCGTTACGCAACTCCACTCGCAGCGTTTCGTCGGAAACTTGATTGGCGACAGTTTTGACGTTACACATTTAATGAACAACGCTGTGAGCTGAGCCTCGAATGAGTCGAATGTCACGCGATCAAAACAAAAAACGTAGATTGCGCAGATGCGCTCGCGAGATTTCGAAACGCGCGTTTTCGAGATTCGGCTGGAAGTTCAGTCGAGATCGATAAATGTGAAACCCAAGAGACCGGGTTATTACACATATGTAATTGCACATGCACAACACACTCACATACACAAGCACACGTATGCGACATACGAGTGTGTTTCCGACGCAGAAACACTAATTGTGGCCTTATCCGCACCGATAAGTATGATATAGGAGCAAAAAAAAAAAAACACACACATACACAAAGGAACTAACATCTTACAATAATTTACTCGAGAGTTACAGGATACTTAATATCAGATCTATTCTTATACAAGAGCAAATATATATATATATAAAAAAAAAAAATCCACGTTACCGAACTGAACATCTGGCCGGCTGAATCTCGAATTGAAAATTGCACGCGCAAATTTCTCAGCTAAATCACGTGTGTTTTGCGAGCATTCCTGCAATCTATATTATTTTTTGTGTTTCAAGAGGCTTGACATAATAATAAACGCGCAATCGCGGCTTATGATGTGATTTCGGTCAGAGAAATGTGTGTTCAGTTCAGTAATGTTCGTCTCAACAACACAACGCGCGTACCAAGAATTTTACGAACAACAGTCAAAGTTGAACAAGAGACAAGCTCGAACCACGGACGTTCGAGTTTCATTCGCGACCAATATCACGCAAAAGTCAAACACGTGCTATAATATACATATATGTTCCGACGGAGTCACTTACACACTAATCGTCTTAATTAGTAAACGATAAAAAAAAAAAAAAAAGAAAGAGATTATTCTATTATTCAGCGTATCTCTCTCCTATACAATGTTATATTGTAAAATTGATAAATAAACAAATGTAATAAATAAATATAATTATTTACGCGGGAGGCCTTGTGTGTCTGTTCTTCGTAACCCACCGAAATTATTTTGAGCAACAAACGGTATGATTAGTTGATAGAACTTTTTTTTTTTTTTTAGTAAAATAGCAAGTTAGACACACGAACAAGCGATTCTCTAAAGCATCGCCGTATCGTACGGGAACGAAAAATAATGAATTCAGCTACAAAGAATAACTTGTAATTTACAGTTGTGGCAGTGTTGTGCGAAAAAATATATACGAAAGAAATAATTTAATGGTTAGTTCCATTAAATTAACTAAAAAAACGAATTTATCTTATGTCGATATCTCGTCTCCAATGCGCAAACGTTATGCGTTCAGTTCCTCTTTTCATTTCTAGATGTCTGCACTATTTCTGATATAAGATGACACACATGGAACGGTTGTTATGAACAAAAAGAACTTTCTTCTTTCTCGCAAATCTTTACTTACACGAAAATTACGTTGTAAACATTTGTTATTTTTATGGCGACGTTTTGGGAGAATCTTTTTTACTCCGAAATTTTATCTGCAATTACGAGTCCGATGTTGATATTATTTATTTTCAAGATTATACATCACTTTGTATTATATATCTCCCTTTGAGATTTGTTGTTTCGTTTCAAGAAGAATTAATGATATCTCCGCGCAATTTCCAGTTTTATTTTTTCACAAAACGAGAAAGCCACAAATCAATTCCGGAGAGAACGCGCGTAAAAGAAACTCTATCTCATAAAAAAATTATCTTTTTTCAAGTTGTGTGTCCAATCGCTTAAATCTCGCGAAACAAAACACATGCAATTTTGTCCCCGATGCAGAAGATCTCGCGTAAACATCATAATTTAGCGAGTGCGTGCGTGCATCGAGAAATTCCGCGCGCGTTTCGCGCGGTGTTTGTTGTGTTATTAATTACATGTGCGCGAGCATATCACGCATACATTTATATACGCGTACTCGCAAGCACTTACACGCGCGTGAGCGGGCGAGTACCGCGCGCCGCTCGGGGTAAAGGGAAGGTCGATGGAAAGTGGTATAATCGCGAATGTGGATCGGCTCAAGGAGAGCAGAGAAGAGGAGATCCTTTACCTTACTTATGTAACGAGCGACCGTGGTGGTGTCTCGTGTCTTCGACCGCGTACCGAAGAGGGAGAACGCGAGTTCTGCCTCTCTCTCCCGAAGAGGCTGCTGCTCCTCCGCGTTCTCGCTCTTTTTCTCCATCCTCCTCCGTCGCCCATGAGCGTCACCGTTCGCCTTGACTCTGTCCCGCACACGGTCTGTTCGACACTGTCCCTGAAAATCCCTCCTCGTCTACGCAAGCGCAAGATTAATAGGCGTTCGCTCGTAATTGCAATTATTATCGAGTGAGAACAAGACGCGAGGAGGATCCTTCACGAAAATTGCACAGTATTTCGTGCAGGTGATGAAATCAATCATTCGGAAGCGAGTGAAAATTGATGTTGAGTTTCTTAAGTTTATATTTGCCCATTTTGTTTTGAGCAACAAAATACTTTTGTTTATCTCTTATTGCATAATTGTTATTAAAAAACTACTTTTTCTATAATATGAGCAAAATGATTAAACAAAATAAATCCTTATTAATTTTTTTTTAATGCGTTTTTCAACTCTAACACAAATGTCACTTTCAGACATTTGACGCGCTTAAGTTTTTCAGACCAAAAATACCACAATTCGAGAAAAACAAATACAATAAGACATTTAATACAATAGAAACAAGATAAAGAAGCTCTTTTCACGTGTCAACTTATGAGAAAATACTCTTAGAATTCTTGTCTTTGTCTCTATGTGTGTGTGCACTAAGACAAACTCGTACTTCGCGTATTTCGATCAAAATACTCTTCTTGATCGCCTTCGGAATCTAAGACATAACGTCACATCTTCGGCAAGCCGGTTCGTGCTGCCTTGGTTTTGATTGGTCCGTCTCTTCTCTGTTGTCTATTTTTCAATTTGTTTTTTTTTTTTTTTTAGCCTATTTCCCTTGTCCGTCTTTCTGGGACCTGCTCGACGCCGAAATCACATACTGAAGAATGATTGTTAACTCTTCGGTCCCGAGGTCAATGACTAGTCGCGTGGCCTTGCGCCACGTGCCTTTAGTTCTCCCTCAAATATTAAAAAATAAAAACCGCTCGTTTTTTTCCACAAAAAACATTCTCTCAGATGCTCGTGCGCCTTCGATTTCCGAGAAACCCTGATAGGTTTGTGGAGCAAACTCAAGTTTAATTTGTTGTTTTTTTCTATCTGTGTTCTCGAACTATATATAAAACTCCGATCGAGAGGCATTAAAAAAATTACATAGTTTGGTCTTTTTTTACACGTCGAAAAAGTGCTCGAGAAGAAAATTCATAAATCTTGTCAATATGTTACTTCCGACGTGTAACCGATATAATTTCGCAAGATGTCACTTTGCGGACAAAAAATCAAATACTGACCAAAATAAAAAAGATAAGAAAAAAATAAACATAAAAAAGATATAAAAAACAGCGTTGTTCAGTCTATTAATTTACGTACTTCCTATTTACGTTCGTAAAATTCATTTCTTTCGAGAAACATCACTGATGATGTAGCAATTTTAGAATTCTTAATGAATCTCTAAATAACTTTCTTATTATCGGTGTGTTTTCATTAGGGAAATCGAAAAATCCGGACAATCTATGTATCTCGACTACGCGATTGTATCATTGACCTCTATTAATTATTCACTCGTATTACTCATGTTAATTACGGTGCTCATTGGTATTCCGTCGTCAAAATTAACGATATGTTTTTCTGTTTTCAAAACTCGTATCGCGTGCTGTGTACGAAATTATGCAAATAGTTTTACGCGCGTGTACGAAGTACATAAATACGATAAATTATCAATCGCGGTTATAACGCCCTGAAACGCTCGGCTAAAGTACATCGGGTATGAAAAGCTATAAGAAAAAAAAAATGTAAAAATTTATCATGTTTCTGATTGTAGTCATTTTAAATGCAATGTGTACGATTTTGTGCAATCATGTGTATTATACGCGCCGGTAAAACAATAATCTCTCTCATAAATCATATTTTCGTAATCATGTATACCATTTATTTAAAAAATCGTTAAAAATATCTCTGACACTAATATTCTTTATCAATGTGATTTATAGACTAATTATTATTCTCCAAGCGGAAAAACTATGTATAAAAGAACTAATTAATTTCGATATCTGTTATATTTCTATTTTTCCTGTTTTTTTTTTTTTCTACAAAAATCCGAGACCTTGATAAAGCCGAGTGACGCAAGGCGAGTCTATTTCTAAAGTTTTATTTTTATTTTTAATCACTTTCCATGAGTTTTTTTTTATATATTCTTGCGCGTGGTTTTACACGAGCGTAAACCTTTTCACGCTTTCGTCGCCGTAATATAAACCCCATTGCGGATCGACTCTAGTGTATTGTCTTGTGTCTTTTCTTGGATCGAGCCACGTCCGAATAAAGAACTGAATCGGAGAAGAGACTCGTATGAGCAGCCAGGCGCAAAAAGCGCTGTTGCTCCGCCGCGAAATGATTTCGACACCGAAAACGGTGGCCGTTGTTGTCGGAGGTCATTCGTCGGTTCAACGTTCGGGCCATTTACCTGCCCGCCAACTCGAATCCTTGGCCGCTGACATTGCGGAGAACGACATTAGCATCTCCCGCTTTACCGGCGAGCGACTATCCCAACACCTTAGAGACAAAGGGACCGATATTGTAATCGAACGATGGAAGAAGAGATATCGAGAGACAGACGTGTTGATGTTAAAATTGCGCGTGATATTAATTTTATGTAAAAAAAATATTTTAATTTTTATACCTTCTAAAGATACTAAAATAACTTTTCTTTTGAATAAAAAAACGATAGATTTTTATCTGACGTATTAAAAAAAAACCTCTTACATGTCAATAGCATAAAGATACATAAAGAATGTAACGTATAAAACATTATAAATTATTATGTGTTTCTTGTGCGCCACTACGTATGTATTACCAATTTACCAAACTTGTTTTTCTTGCGTGTCGGAGAAAGAAAAAATTCCACATCTTAAAATAGAATAACCTAAAAGTACGGTGGCGATCGCACGCAAAAAACGAAACACATTATACAGCTGGGACAGAGATAACAGAATGAGTTGAATGACCAACGCGGGAGACCGAAGCGGTTTACGCGTTCGCCGTTTCGCGTCCTCCGCTTTAAACAATTCTCATGAAATTGAAAGAGATGACCTCCCCGTCATCAGATCTATCGAACGCCTCGACCGGCGTTGGAATGACGGAAGAGAACGCGAGAAGGATTAAAGCAGGAACTCTCGGCTTCTCTTTTCGGCTTCATGAAAGATACGGAAGACGAAGAAGAAAAAGAGGAGAAGGAGGAGAAGGAGGAGAAGAGCAGCCACCGCGCCGGGGCTGCTTGCGAGAGAGTGCCTTGACCCTGAGCCGAGAGCGGCGGAGTCTCTTCGGGACGAAGAAGAAGAAAAGTGCGAAAGAGAACCGATGCGGAGTGTAATCCGGGTCGTGGTACCTTGTCCGTTGACTTTCCGCGGCATTCGCAAGTCGAGAGGGAGTCGCCACCGCAGGAAAGAGGGAGAACCAGTGATGTAACCCTTTAGCCACGGACCCCTCATGAGAATGGCGCAAATCAAAAGTTAATAATCATTCGTCGAAGGACACACCGGCCTTCAGATATTTATAATGAACCTTGAGAAGACCGATTGCTTGCTGTTGTTATCTCCTTGTTGTAAACAAAATTATATAACTAAATCGGAATAAGTAGTCGAACTATTGTTCAGATCTTCGTTTCGTAAGGCGGTTCGACCACGTCACCCAGCTCTGAAATTTAATGTCACTTGCAAAAGACTCTTGAGAGAAAGAGACAAACAAAACAAAAAAAATTAGGAGACAAAGGTGGCGAAGAATCGAGGGAGAGACAGATTTATTAACTGTGGAACACGCCTCATCCGAGAATTTCATCAATTACAAATTGAA